CGACCAAAGTTTCCCCCCCCCCCGAATCCCAAGTTTCTTGTAAAAAAACACTAAGATATATACAAAAAAACATTATGCATTAGGCTCCCCCGGGTTTCCAAGGGAATTCATCCCATCTTGCTTGCATAGAGTAGAATGAAAAAAGTTCGAGCCGATATAGAGTAAGGAAATTAGAAAGAAACATTATCGGAGCCAAACGCCCAGCCTGATGGAAATCAGAATGCATAACCAAGTGTATCGTATCTCATAACATCCAATCGCATTGCGATTCCAAAATCAAAAAACAAAACAAGAGAGGAAGGGAAAAGGAAGGAGAAGAACCAAAGTCATGAGAGGAAATCGCGTAAACAAAAGACAGAGATCAAACCATAATCCACTCTCCCTCACCACCCTCCATATGACGACTCCACTTGAAAGGACCACCAAAGCTTCCTCTCTCACTATCTCTTCCTTTTCCCTCAGCATCTTCCCAAAGTTTCTCAAGAACCTCAAGACCAGCGAGGTTGTTGAGATATCCACTTCTCCCCATGATCTCTCTGCACTTTGTCCTCACAATGCTTTGCTGTAGCTCATTGACACATTCAGACCCACTGATGAAAAGAGGCCACAGAAGGAATTTCTCACACCCAGATGAAGGATCAAGGGAAGTGACATAAAAGAGGACCTGCGAGACGAGGTTCTGGAAGTTGAGATGTGAAGATGGGAGAGTAGGGCAAGCAAGCCGTTCAGTGTAGAGAAGGGCAGCGTAGCGGAAGGCCTCGGAGATATATCCGAAATCCCGGAGTTGAGTCGGGGATGGGGTTGCAGGTAGGTTGGCTACAAGACGGGTGGGGTCAAACTCCCAATCCTGGAGAGCTTGACGGGCAGCTTTCCATTCGGCCCAGAAAGTGGTGCGGAGGTCATCGTGACTCATGGAGTTGGTGAGGAGTGAGAAGCTGGCATCGTCGTCCAAAGTTGAAGAGAACCCGTTGCCGTCGAAGCTGTGTGCGTGCAAATTGTAGAAATCAACCAAAGCCTGACCAGCGAGACGAGGACGAGGATTTGGTGGTGCTGGACGACTTTCTCGTGCTTGGCTGGATAGAGCTTCGTCGAGGACTGGGCGATGCTGGGAGAGCATGTTGAGACGTCCGAGTCGAGCAATGGTCTTGAATAGTACTCCGTCGCAACCGGCAACATTTTCCAACCCGTGAGATGGTTGAGAGGGGGTGGCGATCATTTCCAAATAACCCCCACGTAGTTGAGCCTCTCGGTCGTTAATGCTTGCTGCAATGCCGTCAAAGTAGGTAAATAGAGTTTCCATCCAGCCCCAGTTTCCAGTCTCAACACCACTTTCGCGCATGCCAAGAATTTTCTTGACACCAGCAAATTGCGTTCTGAATTGAGCGATACCTGATTCACACATACGGTAATGACAAAGAATGAAAAGAGTCGCAAGAACACAGTCATGACGGGCAGTAGATGGATCGCCAAGTTGCTGGTTGAGTAAAGAAACAGCTAGGGAACGGTGTTGGTATTCTTCTTCGAGCGAAGCATCCTTGCAGCGGGGTTCCTCGTGAGGTGACATGCGGTGGTTGGAGGCTCTTCTGTTGTTGATTGAGCCTAAGCCATTTATACGGTCCTGGATTTCTAGTTCGAAAGGTTGACGCCAACGATCCTGTCCTAAAGATTGTCTTCTTTTCATTCGAAGATTGCAAGCCGCAAGAGCGCAGATTGCATGTTGCAGACTTCGACTGCTACTGGCGAGGCTAAGGATGTGTTCTCGGTAAGGATTACTGGGGCTGTCTATTACCACGACCGAGGGACAGATGATTTTTTCGTAGTAATCAAGGAAGAAGGATATGCGGGGCGACATGTCGGTGGAGGAGGACATCGAGTCCGGACCCGAGGAGAAGTGATAGTTGTCGGCCTCGGAAGCTGCTTGCGAGGCTACATCGTCATCATTGATAGAATTCCAGCCGAAATGGCTTGATCGAGCACTGGTAGCATATACCTCTAAATCATTCGGCATTTGATGTGTACCTGCTTCAGATTAGCTGCATGTTGAGGGGAGAATAGGCAAAATCAAATTTACCCATTATATCATCGTCATAAAAGTGCTCATTGGTCGCGGAGTTGGGGTGCTGCTGACGTCCACCTTCAGCAATATCGTACAAGTTTTGATGCGAACTGATACTTGAGCTAATCTCTGATGGAGCATAGAAATGATCAGGAAAAGACGTTGGGCCACGGTTGTCCCCCATGATTGCCACTATAGGACTTGCGTCTGCAGTGGTATTTCGGGAGGAGTAGCCGGTGTAGATTGGCATTGGGCTGCGAAGGAATGGGACGTCATCCCCTTGGAATGAGTGTGCGATTGGAGAGTTGCTGTACTCGCTATCGGCGTATGCGCTGAGCGATTCCAGGGAACTGGATATGTGTAAATTCTCGCGACCTAAACTGAGTGCGTGGGTGTGTAATCGGTGCAATTGCGGTAACTGCCTCTGCTGTGACATACTTTCTTGTGGTTGATAATTCTGAAGATGATAGTTTTGAGTGGAGCCCATATTCCAGTCTGGGATTTGCATGGGTGGTGCAACTCCATTAGGGGCCATGTTGACAAAGTCGTACGTGGTGAAAGGGTTGACAGATACGGCAGCTGGTTTCTCCATCTTGATTTTGACGCCGTCGACGATATCTCGAGTTGGCGAAATTGGTTGGGTGGGACTGCTTCGTGCTCTAGATGGAGGGGGACTCTTTACTGCGGGGGCGGATCTGGCAACTGGAAGAGATAATCCACGTAGTTTTCCACGGCTGGCAACCCCCACCCCCCAAGTCAATTGGGTTTTGTATCCTGAGCATTCTTTGCCTACTTCCAAACATGGCGAGCAATACGGTCGTCGACGATCGCATTTGGTGTTTCTTTTGGTGCAGGCAAAGCAGTCGTCTGAAGCACCACTGGCAGGCGCTCTTCTACGACGTTTACGCTGTGGTACCGTCGGCGGATCCGAGGCAGCACAAGGAGAAGAAGACGGCGGGCAAGCAAGTGGCAAAGTCATGGTTGGAGAGGTCGTCGATGAAGGGCAAGAAACGAGATGCATCCAAAGACCTTGCTTGTGGCAAGCGGAGACGACGTAAAGGTAAAAGTATATATATATATTATATGCGAGTGTCTCTGGTGGGTGAGTGTAGGAAGCGGGAGGATTCAAACTCAAGGACAAGGTGTAGGTTTGCGGGAGTACCGATGTGAAAGGAAGAGAGGCTGAGGGATTCGATATAATATGTATAAAATGGAATCAATAGATGAGATGAGATGTGGGCATTCCCGGCTTGTTGTGAGATACGGGAGCAAGACGGACATCGAGCTCGAATTAGAGCTGGAGCCGGACCTACTGCTGGCTACTGGGGCTGGCCTGCACATCTGCAAGGACGCTGGATGACCAGGAAGCAAGATGCAGCAGCTTTGCAGCAGTGGCAGCAGCAGCAGCAGCAGCAGCAGAGCAGGAGAAAGCAACCGCACGCAGCAGGGGACGGATTGGGGTGTGGAGGGAGGAGGAGAGTGGAGTGCAGTGCGTGCAGTGCAGTGGAGAGAAAGCGCGAGAGATGTAGCAAGCATCTGAAATCAGGACAGGCTGCAGGCATCATTGAGAGAGGGACCAGCAGGCTGCGGAGCAGGCTGCGGAGCAGATAGACAAGCAAATGCAAATGGCAGAGAGGAAGCGGAAGGGGTACGGAGAGACTCATCGACATGGTTGTTGGAGATCATGAAGAGAAGGACAGGGGCCGAGCCGAGGGCAGCAGAAGCCTGGATACGCGAGCTGATTCGCCCACGGCCAACGCTGGCCTGGTCTGGTCGTCCAAGGCTAGCGAGGATGGGGTTAGGCTCAATAATCCCCTGGCAGCCAAACGCCTTTGAGGGAAAAAGCAGCCAAGGACCAACGGCCATCTGCAGTGCATCTGCACGTCTTCCGCTCTCTCGCCAATCAGAGGCGGTGGAAAATGCAGAGGAAGCACTCTGCAGCCTTCCATACAGCATTGCGCAGGCGGGCATCTGCTGCAACGAGCTGCTGATACCAACTCACCAGCGAAGGGCAGGCTGGCAGGCGGGCAGGCGGGCAGACTGGCAGACTGGCAGATGAGCGAAGGTCCAACTGAACATGACATGAGCAGCTCATCACCAAGCGAGAGCATGTTCTCTTGGTGTATCAGAAAATAGATGCGGCATTACCGTCCTCGATACCATTTCTCGCTTCCTCCGTACCTCGAAAAACAGGACCCCCTTTTGATCTCGCCTAGTCGTGCTAGTCTACCTTAACCCCCACCGCCCCCCGTTCTTGCCCCTGGTTCGCTCCCGCAGTCTCACTTACCCCTCGCAAATCTGCCCCGCCTTTGATGCCCCCTCGTTTCCCAGGTCCCTCGACTCGCCAGCCTACTTGCCCCTCAACTCCAACCGTCCCCTCAAATGTCCTCAGATATGTCTCGACAAGTACAATTGCTCCGAGCCAATGCTGGCCCTCCACCTCTTTCCAGGTTGTCGCTCGACTGGTTGATCCCCCGAACAGAGAACCCGACCTTCATTGGCTCACCCCGCCACTCCGTGCGCGATGATCACAAGCCGCACCGCACTGCAGGGTCATTCAGTGTAGAGATGTGAGATGATATGAGATCCTGGAGATGGGGGCTTGTTGGAAAGGCTTGATGAGGCTTGCTCAATGACGACTGCGAACACCGCAGATGCCACTTCCATTCTCGACCACCTCTGTCATGTCGGTAGCAGACGAGCACTGGTGCACGCTGACTGGTTCAGGGTGTGCTGACATTAACCTTAACGCCATCATCGCCAGTCAAGCTTCTGGAGAAATCACCGACACCCGTGCCGTCACTCTGCCGTGCGATGTTGATCTGCATTTGTGTTCACGATTCCTCGTCCCTGTAGGAAAACCCATTGGATGCCGGGATGAACCAGTTTGGATGTTCGAAACTCTCTTGGATCTAGGCTCTAGACCCCATTCGCGAAAACTCGTGATAAGTAAATTTACTAGCGGCTAGCGACATTGGTAATTTTATACGGAGGATACGGAGGATAAGCTCATAAGCAACAAAGTTTATGTCGGATTGTAATTCTAGGCCGCTGTCAAAGTACCCAGAGCCGCTGAGTTGTGCACAAAGTTGCCTCGGCACGGGGCAATCACAAGTAAGTTATTTGGTTAAGGTTAACCCTATTTACCGACTCTTACTTCTACTTCGAAGTAAGACTCGGTCGGCTCCGTGACGCTAGCAGAGGTAAAAAATGGAGACGATTCCTTAAGCGCGATCCCAATCCACCAACAATTGAAGCCAGACCCTGCCCCTCTTGCTCCATCACAGACGCTGCAGTCGTTTCAAATCCACTGGGAGCCACTCCGCTGCACCATCAAACGCGGCCCGTGGGTATCCAGGATTGCACTGGCGGCTCTCATAAAGTACATGCGATAATCGTAAATAATCGTCGCAAATATAGCACCTGCCCGACCAGGTCTCCGTTCGTCTCCTCAAAACAAAGTTATAACTTGTCAAAACTCATCAATACAAGATTCCGATCGCGGAAGCGCTACTCAAGAACACCGCCAATTCGCAATAACATCCTCAGAGGCGTGGGGCATGCAGTTTGCGATGCTGCAGTGACGGAGATGAGAGGGAAGACGCCTGTGCCGAGAAGATGCGATGAGGCATGCAGACCAGGCAGTGCAAGAGGAAGGCTACCGGCTATCGAGCACTGACAGTTCAAGCACTGGCAGTTGTTGATCATAAACTCAGACGATCATGAGGTGCCTCGCGACCCGGTGTTTGGAGACCAGGAGATGACCGAATCCGGCGGGAATAGCGTCATTACCGTTTGGCAATGGGGTTTGAGCCCTAGCTGCCTTATGTTAACTAGCTGAGGCTCACTCCTTCGGACTCCTTCCTGACCTGTGCTAGATCCTGATTCCTACGCTTTTCGCCTCCCGAAGCCACCGATGGATAGGAAGGCAAATAGGATGAAGATAGGAAGCAGGAAGCAGCGGCTTTTCCGCCGATACCGTTGTCTACGCTACAGTAAATTTACCTATTCGAGCTGTATGGAGTAGAGTACTCGGTACGGCGTATAGGTTTACGAGTTACGAGTAGTAGCCTAACAAGCGTACAGAGGTCTGGCGTAGCGTAAAATAGGCGAATTCAAACTGCCAGCAACTGCCTGCCGATGAGCCCCCCTTCTTCCCCACCCTAACGTGAAGTGGCGCACATCTCACGCCCAAAGCTACGGAGTCCCTCCGTACAAACCTAAACACCTCGGTGTGGCGGTTCAGCCCTTCACATTATTTTCCCGCTTCCGAAGACTTGGAGTTGTGCCATTGCATAGAGTTCTGCAACTCGAAAGAATTTACGAAGTAATCTCCGTTTCAACTTGGCTCGCTGTCACGCTTACTCATTGGACGATGCCGTCACCATCGGAGAATAGTCGATCATACCGAAGCGGTGGTTTCTTACTCAAGCTTCATTTGATACGGGGTGAGACTTACATCTAATGAGCTCTCTACCTCACTCTCGTGGGTGGTGGACGGACAGGATTCATGCTGCGCTCAATGTGGATGCCGGAGGAACAATGGGATTTCAAGAACCCCTCCCTCGCGCTGGCGCCGCAAGCTGGCTGGTTCTCCTTGATGCCCTAAAGTAATGGCCCTGTACATTCAAGGCACTCGGTGCATCTGAGTGGTTGTCCAGCGATAAGAAGATTTGGGAACGGTCCGCAGATAAGAACAGAACATGGGAATATATGACTTCTGTCATGATCCCCGTTTTTTTCAAAAGACTCGGCATGCCAGGCCAGGTTCTTTCGCTCTGCACGCACTCCTCTACGATCTGTCTACGGTCTCACAGAAGGCCTGCTGGTACGGGTGTGACGGTGACGGCGAGGGACTTGATCTCGTCGATGCACCGTTGCTGTGACTTCGTACACTTGGCCTTGTCCCTCAGAATTGGGTGCCGTCAGACATCCACGAGTTTGCAGCGTGGAAATGAAAGCTGTGGAGGCGGTAGTAGTACTTGGCGATCGCATACTCCGTACGTATTTTATATACGAAGTATATTTTCCTTTTCTGGAGGTCATTTCGTGGTGGCAAAGAAACCAGCAAAGGCTATTGAAATGGGCGTCAATGCTTCACAGCGAGCTCGTCACTTTCTCACCAACCGAATCTCGAGCGCTTCGAGTTGCAGTCGCAGGTGTCAAGGTATGTACGGAGAACATTCCACTCGCTTGATATCACTGGCCAACACTTGAACCCTCGGCGGGACGGTTACTTTTTCTTATGCCCCTCGAGCCCTCCCATTCGGCTGCTTTGCTACGAGTTTATTTTCCACTCCATCTTTATTTTTCCTTCCCTTGCTTCCCTTATTTTGCTTCACAAATCACATCATACGAGAGATCTTCCCGGTGCCGTCAGAAAGTCTGAACATACCATATCGATTTTCGTCTCAAAAAGATTGAAGCTTTTCTTCTTGGCTAACGTCGTCCGGACTTCGTCTAAACTAACCTCGGCGCACGTCTCCATCGTTCGTCCCAAAAATAAAACTTGACAACTCATATGGGTATTTAAATCCCGGCACTTCATTTACAAAGTACCTCTCTCCACAACCGCTCCAACAAGATAAGGGTTACCAGCTCGTCAGAGTATCCGTGTAAGTCGGTTGCACCAAATCTCCAATGTTTTTGGACTTTTTCACATCTCAGAATTTCTTCCGTTTCTGCATCGATGTTCCTTGTTAATTATTCATTGGAAGTTGTTCCGGACCGAGTCAGCCAACCGCCATGATTCAGTTGATGGTGGGCACTAGAAGGATTCGAAAGCTGCACCGAAGGTTCTTCGTCCAGCCACAACCAACAACCAAAGGCACCACGGAAGACAACAAACTCTCACGACCATTTGGATTGGCCGACCGTTCATGTACCCTGCTAGCGGAATGCCTCGAAGCCGAAGCTATCTCTTGTGCGCACCAATCGTGAACCCATCACTGCAGCTGGGGTAGCTGCCCCTCCCCTGGCTGTGAACTTGGTGACCTGCATGGAGAGCACGGGGGTCCCCAAGGACCCTGGCTGTCAAGGCAGCGGATCCCTCTTTTTTCACCCCTCTCCTCATGTTGTGTTCCTCAGGTCGTGCCACCCACTAAACGGTCCGTTTTTGGGGTGGCTTACCTTGCCAATGTGGCTTTGGCAACTGGAACGAGGTGTCACTGCATTTTCTGGCACGCAGACCAGCTTGTGTCCCCCACGACGACGTTGAAATGGAAAAAACGGAGTCAGGACATCCTGTCACGAAGAGGGAAACATTTCCGCGATGGATGGAAAATGTGCTCGCGCGTAGCGAGGCGTATACTGTATGCGCTTTCCATCACTTATTAATCGTGTGATGTGGGGGAATCTCAACCTTTGACTAACACCTTTCTCAGACTTCTGGTATCGCTGATCACCGCTCTTGCCTGCGAAAAGATGTGATCGCTTTTGAATTTCTCCGGGATTGACTTTTTTCGTACAGTACTGTACCTTGATTTTGCTGTCAAAGCGTACCGTACCCTACCGTACCGTACGGAGGAGAGGGCACCAGCCCAGAAATATGTCTCGCCCCTGTGAAAGTCATCGCACGGCCGTCCACGACGAGCGTTTATATGGCGTAATATCCTCCGTACTCCGTAGCAAAGCAAAAACATCTCCTATGAGACCTATACACGCGTCTAGAACATGTTTGACAAGTACCTTTATAAAGTCTACCTTGAAGCTAGTAGACTTTCCCTCCGTACAGATTCCAAAGTATAATTTAAGGGGTTTTTAAGCTTAGTCCTACCAATACGACTATCGTTTTTATAATTCCGGCCATCCTTATACTGTATATAGTTAAACCCTCGGGACAGTCCGGCGGGCGGTCCACGAAATAAAGATAGATAGGGGTGCTCAATAAAGACTTCTCTGCCCGTACCGCCGCACATCGTGTGAACTCTGCAAAGAATTTTGACTTTTCCTAGCTTAATCTGAGAAGGTTACTAGAAAGATAAAGAATCTTGGCTGGTGTCGTGTGAGCTGTCTCTCACGATCGAGCGAGGCTGAGATTAGGTTGTTGCTGTTCCCATGGACGGTGGCTATGAATGAGAACTCTTTGGATGACAAATACTGGATACCAGCTCTAATGGGGTGTTGAGGAGGGTTATCCTCGTGCTTCTACTACTTCCTCTACACTTCCTGGTACATATCTCAATAACTTCCAACTAAAAAATAGAAACTCGGAAAATAGAAAATCTTCAACCTCTCTTATCTCCCAACCAAGCAAGCAAGCAAATCACGCTCACCACAATACGAAGGCCTCGTCCCGGTTTCCGTTCCTACGAGGCTAGCTGGCTGGCTTTTAGATTTGTGATGGGAAAGGACAAGGTACATGACTGTATATGTATCTGTACTGTACGTTTGCCCTTCCGGTTAGCCAACCAAATAGCCGTCGATCAGTGTAATCTACATACAAGGGCATCCATATATCCCTCGTAGGTTTTAGGCGTTGGCGAGGCGTAGTACATACGGTACAGATGCGCTCACCCCGCTTTTACGTCTACTGTAGTCTGTAGAGTACATCGCCTTGATTTCTTCCTTCGGTTCCCTTCGGTTCGTGCCTCGCTCGTTGCCGATGCGATTCGATAACCACTGGACGGCTCCCTACGAGTAAAGGATGCAGATATCGCCTTCGGCCAATCCAACGATCCTCCCTGCCCTTTCATCTCATCTCACCTTGTCTTACAAGCAGCAAACTACTCATCTCAGCCTCATACTCGTCCTCTCTCCCTCCCTCCATCCATCGCATAGAAACTAGTGAAGTGAGTCTATGCTCCAACGGCGATTCATGACGCGGGAAAGTGTCTCTGGGGAAAGCTGGGGAGCATGAATGGTGGCGTTTCTTTCTCGTAGGGGGGGATGCGAGGTACTGTATTTAGGCTGATGGAACGTTACTTCTTGTGTTTTTCTATTGGCCGGCTTTTGGTCGTTGAATGAGGTGGACGAGGCTGCGCGGGTAGTATGCCGAGGACAAGCACATGGACAGGAAATAGAGGCTCGTTGAGATTCGTCTTAGGAAATGCATTATGTGGGTAATATGTATAATTTGGGTTCACGAGACGCGCTCGTGGAGGGGATGAATGATGGATGGGGGTTGTGCTGATGTAAAGTTGTGATTTGTTTGGATATGGGGTTGATATGTGGAGCTTGGAGTTGGGACGTTGAGGGAGGGAGTGGTGTGTTATATGATGTTGGCGGATGGATGTGGGGATTCTTAATGTACGGGGGTACTCTTTTGAAATATCCTGGGAAGATTATAATCATGGTATCTGATGCAAATTATGTCTTTCATAAGTCTTAACCATGTGTCTGATCATTTACTTTACCGCTTGAGGCGAGGATCATACCATCGCCCTTTTTCCGGAATCGAGGCGAATTACATGATCGTTATCAACACACGTGATGATAAAGATAAGCTCGTTAGCGCTCGAAAGTTTTCTGAGCGCAAGACCAGGCGCAAAAAGTTTCCAGCTCCAAGCCAACCAACACCCCAATCCCCAACCCATCAAACCGCAACCATGGGTCGCGAACTCCAGAAAAAGAAGAAGAGATCTTCAATCGCGAAGATAAAAATGAAGCCGAAATCCAAGAAGATAAATCCCCTAGGGAACCCAATTATCGCCGCGAACTGGTGCGTTTCTCCCTCTCTCTATCCACCCCTTCTATCCAGTGACAGAAAATCTAATCAACGATGCAATTAGGAACCAATCTGAGACCCTCACCCAGAATTACAGACGTTTAGGTCTCGCCTCGCGATTAAACAGCGCCACAGGAGGCGTCGAAAAACTGCGTCCCGGGGACCCCTCTCCTTCCTCGACGACCTCCCGTCTCGCCATCTCACATGCGGTCCCGAAGATGCTAGCGCCGTCCGAGGCGCGTGTAGGAAGGGATGCGGAGGGGAAGATTGTGCGTGTCATACATACCGCGCCTAAGCATGAGAATCCTCTTAATGACCCTCTAAACGACCTCGAAGAAGGGGATTACATGGATGAAGACGCGGGTGTGGAGGGGAAGGAGAAAAATCCTATTGTGGAGCAGCTGGAAGAGATGGCAGGCCGGGTTGCGGAGAAGAAACCGAGGAAGCAGAGTGTGAGGGAGAGGGAGTGGATTGAGAGGTTGGTGGGTAGGTGGGGGGATGATGTCAGGGCGATGGTGAGGGATAGGAGGTTGAATCCTATGCAGCAGACTGAGGGCGATATTCGGAGACGGATTGCGTTGTATAAGGGTGAGGACAAGGCTTGAAATGCTGCTCCTTGCTTTTTACCCCGGACTTGGAGATGGTGTGGGTGTTCTCTTGCGCTGGTACTTTGTACGGAATTGTAGCTTGGCGTTAGGAGTTTGGGTTGTACCTGCAATGATGGATGGGAAGGGAAAGAAATGCGTTCAAAACCTCATAACCTACCGTTTTTTCTCAACAAATGGTAGAATTACAAATGACAACCATTTAACTGAGCAATACGTGCAGATTAAGCTACCTGTACCCAATCCAATATACCAACATCACTCCTCCAACCCCCAGAACTGAGAGAAGGATGCGTACAAAACCATCCATCCCTCCCATCTATCCCAATTCCACCCCAACCCCCCGCATCCTAGATTCCTACATACCATCCCCTCCCACAATTCTATACACCTCCATCTATCTACACGCGGACAAAACTTCCACTTCCCTCCTCCTACTCATGGCTTGTACTCCGCGATGATCCCACCAGTACCGGCATACCAAACTCGGAGTACCGAATCCCCTCGACGAATCGGGAAAGTCCCAAGCTCCCTCCCCTCGACTTGGGGGCCACGATAAGATGGACCTGCATCTCATTGCGGGGAAGGAGTATCCGTGGTGGGTGTATGTTGTGGGAGGTTATACCGGTTGAGGGGTTGGTTTGGTCGACTATGAGATGGGATGGATGTATATGGGTATATGGTGGGAAACAGGGTTTTAGAAGGCGGGTTTTCTTTGCGGTGGGTAGGAAGGAAAGGGATGGAGTGTGAGTGTGGAGGAAATCAGGGTTTTGGGGTTGTGATACGAGGGTATGCAGATGGTCGGGTGGGAAAGCAGGTTTTGTTGATGGAGGCTGGGAGGGAGTGTTAATGTTGGGTTTTGTAGTGTGCTATGCTGGGTGGAAGTTGACTGCGGGAGTTGATTTAGATAGCCCCCAGTATATCATGATAATGAAAGGTGTATAGTAGTGGCCAGGAAGAATATGAGGAACTGCTCATTTTATGTATGTTTCAACGAAATTTTGTCTCTTCCGAAACCAGCGAGACTTTGGTACACCCAGTTGTCAAGATTTCCGCTAGGGACTTTTAGACGGACGCGATCGGTATTGAGACAGCATCTTGTTAGAAGGGAAATGTATACAAGGCCATATATAAGATAGTACTGTACCTTTAAATGTATCATTTTCTAAGTCCCCAAAGCAGGAAATAAATATCCCATTCCTCACCCAAGCAAAACTCAAAACCTAGACACTCTCCTCGTGTACGGAATCATCCGCCGATTTCTGTACCAGACCCCTACTACGGCATTGGCTACAACAAATGCAAAAAGAATCGCAGAGATATAAATAAATTTCAGCCAACCTCCCAGAAGCTAATTGACCTTGATATTGATGCTTATAGCTTTTAGATGGGTTGTTGTGGGTTTATTGTGAATAGTAATAATAGTAGCTAGTATACTAAAATCGGCGGATCTTTTCGTACACAAGGAGACACTTTACCCCACACAGCGTGGGAACAAAATAATCAACTAATCAATTAATACTCTGAATTATTCAGATTTGATTTGATTTGATTCAATTAACAGGTCTAGTTGAATTGAATTGATTAACCGATTAGTTAATCAGAGTATTAATTAATTAATATATAGTACTATAAATAGTAATTAAAGTACAAAGTAATTATCCTCAAATAACGCGTCTTTTAGTAAATTAGTAGTGTATCCTTATCCTTATTTACATAACACCCTAGCTTGTTAGGCTTGTTACTAGTCTAGCCTTCAGAGTCTCTTTTGTTATTATATCCCTATTCTATAAGACAATATAAAGTAGGTTATATAATTATAAGTGATCCTATAGCTAGTACTATAAGCCTTCTACTAATTGTAAAGGTTCGATTTCGAGTTTTATGGTGAATTGGTTTTGTACGTGATATGCCTCCACAATAGGGGTATTTGTAGATACTTAAGTAGTTCTACCGCGGGAGTCTCTCCTTCTCTCCTTGCGGACAATCTATTTAATATTCTACCCTGACACTAATAAAGTAAGAGCAGAGTCTATATAACTAATAAGTAAAGAGTTTTAATATATAAATATTTTATTAACTTACTTATACAGAGGGGGGGCGGCTCGGGCGGGTATAATCCGAACTACGGCTGTCTCGGACCACCCGCCCGAGTCTCGGACCGATTGGACTCTGTATTAATCTGAATTAATCCGAATTAATCAGATTACTTAGCGATTTGATTTAATTAATCGATATATTAATCTGATTTGATTTGATTAAGTACTATTAATCAAATCAAATCAAATCATTTTCCACGCTAACCCCACACGTAGCATGGAAAATCCCCCAAGTCCTATATTTAGAAAGGAAAAGATTTCTTGTCTAGATATACTTTCCAACTCACTCGTGGCGTAACCAGCCCCACGATCTGAATAACATTAAACCTCGAAAAACCAAAGCCATGCACCTTTCACTTCCTCGCCACAACCCTATTTCTCCTGCGGCCACGCGGTGAGAAAGTATGATATGTTACTGTGCGGAGGCCGCTAATGTGCGTTGGAATGCGGGGAAGTGTGAAGTCTAACGTTAACTACCGCTCAAGTGAGCTAAGCGAGGATTTTCAAACTCCACGGATGGGTGTCGGGGTTTTTGTTTTATGATTTGGATTTGGATTTGAGACTTGAGATGGTTTGATATTGTGGGTTTGTACTTTGTATTGGAATTGGGGCAGTGGTAGTGATGCGAGTTCTTCTTTGGGAATGTGGTGAGAGGCTGGTATTTGACGGGCTTTTTACATGTGATGATGACAATTTGGTTTTTTGCTTGTTAGATTTGTGCGATATTGGAAGGGCGCCTGTTCTACATGTATGGTTGCGAGACTTTCTCATTGGTATCAACAGTATCATCATTATTTTATGTTTATCCTATGGTTGATGTGATTTGAGATCCAGTTTCCATCGAAGAGTCATATATCATGAGCTTGAACGATCACTTCATGACTTTGAAAGGAGGGGAGACTTTCGTTCCTCACCATCCTCCGGAAAACACCTACAAGCACCAAGAAATGTAGAATCTTTACATACCAACATGGTCATGGAAATGTCACTAAATTTGGTTGCTACAGCGGCAGGAAGTAAGAATCGAAGTTGCCCTCAAATTCTCCAGACAAGATGATTGTCTCGACACCCTCAACACCTCATGTTGCTCCTACCGGTTTCTCATCAAATTCAGCTGCAAACGAATAACCCAGCCTGTTTTGAAGCCAAGGCCATGAGAAGTCATTGTGCATATTCAACAGCTTCAGCTTCATCTCACATCAGCTGTGGCATTTCCGCTACATTTCTTCATGATGAACCCGAGACTTCGTTTTCATTCCCAACCGTGACGTCGGTTTTTCACAGAGCACTCTACCATCTCGTTTCCTTTGGATTCGTTAATCTATGTGTTCTCCTCGTCCAAAATACGTGGTGTTGCCACGATCGCTCGCACTAGTGTTTTCGCTTCCCCTTATCTTCCCGTCCACTTTTTTCCCTTTAGCCTTTCTACCGACTCCCTATTCTGATTTATGTTGCCTACGTCAACGTCGAAAGCTCTGATGAGTCAATTCCATCGAGCAGCACTTCCTCTGCATTGGCTCTCAACACCAAAGATCATGAACATGAAACGCTCTTGGTGTGTGTATGCACCACTGATGCATCAGAGAAAGCAAAATTTGAGGTTATATTGTACCCCCGAAATCTGCACTTCTGCACAAGGTAACCCGAACTACACGAGTATGCATCTTGCTTCAATATCAATACCCCCTTTTCCCTCTGGCGCATACATGTCACTCAGTTTCAAATTAATCTCAATCTGCATACCCCACTTCCTGTTCCTATAACCAGGCGTAACACAACACATATTATAAGTCTTGGGTCACATCTTCCCTCTGAGCCACCGCAAAATGCCATTTTATTGTCTCGAAATACCACAGATCTACACTTTGCGGTTTGGAGATATCCCATCTAGACTCCCCAAACGTCATCGAGCTTCAAGAATGTGATTTGCCCACAGGTTCACATTGAAGATACTCTGCAAAGACGGGAACATGTTTCTTCTAGGTAACAACGGCATTGGAATCCCTCGACCATGCGGTCTCCATGCTTCATGTACCGGATCATGTACCTCTGACGTATCTTCACGAGGTTGAGGCTTGATACCACCATTGATTCTTCGGAGCTGAGTGCAATTCAAGTCCATCGTCACAGTGCTTTGCTTCAACCCTATTCTCGTCCATGGAAACAACCCAAGTCCAAAGCCTATGAAAACAGATCGTCATACCAAGTACTGAAAGCAGGTACTTTGCAGCTGAGCCTGGCGACGCGCCTATTCGGACATACAAACCCCAACAATACCCTCATGACTTGATTGCCACTGCTGCTGCAAAACCCAGAAAAAGTCCATTGTAAACACTCATCTTCAATATCAGCCATGTGGATACCACAGACCACGAAGTATGTACTGGACCCTTGTACCACATTCGCAGTAACGTCCCAGCATCCATCCATACCACACATGAAATCTCCACAGCCTCCCCAAACCAACTGACGCAATCCCGCAGCACCAAGCTCTCTCCATCTCGCTGCAAGACACTCCACCAGATCTCTTCTTCTTGATGGAAAAAAAGAAGTCAGAGGGCGCTTCTGCATACCAATCTATTTACTGCGCCAGCAACCTTTGGATAATGCATCCTTCGTTGTCGACGACGATCAGCAAGAATCTTGGTTCTCAGGATCCACAACAATATATTCCTGAATCAATACCTCGGTGACACGTACCATACCCGTCTATCAGATGCCAAAGGGTTTAAGACAACGTCGTCGAAAAGCTTGACAGTACAAGCACTCGCTGTCCCCATTCCGCTGCGTCACCATGATGAGGTCCCGCTGGGTTGCGGTGTCCTCCGGGTCGAACACCTCAGTGCGTTTGCCAAGAAGAAGAAGAGGAGAAGTGCGTGTTTGAGGTTGGGAGTCTGCAGTTATGGGGAAGGTATGAATGGGATACTGTACGAGTATCAACACCAGAGGAAAGGCGTTGTATGTCTATCCTCCACCTAGTACCTACCGACCCATACCCCCCAATCAACACCACCCTAGTCTCCTCTCAGCAAGAAAGCTACCAGTCTCCTCGCAAGAGCGGAAAGAAAGTGTGCTCTGTAGTCGGCCCAAAGTGTTTAGAAGCGCATATCATCAGCAGCACCCCCAGTAATCAAAAACAGCCTGCAACCAATAACGAAGACGAGCGAGAAAACGGTAGCCTAGCGCCCGTTATTTTGACACGCAAGTATAGAGCATGAGCTAGGATGCTGGAATCCTAGGTTCTAGGATGGAAGACCCATGTCTTGAAGAAGGGGTAAGTGAATGCTTGGATAGTGCTTGTCATATGCTTGTATTGTGGTAGTCCTCCACTTTCCTGCACTTTCTCTTGGTCCATCTACAGTTACACCGCAGGCGAAGTTGGAGTTGAAGGAGCTTGAGAGGGAGAGAGAGAGAGACAGGGAGAGGATGCATCATGCATGAAATTTTGATGTAGAGAAGTGGATCGCCGAATTCTGAGGTCTCTGCCGAGGTGTGGGAGGGGGGTGGGGTGTATGATACGAGCAGAGAGTGAGAATGACCACAGGAGCCGGGTGTGGGGGTTCAGGGAGGAAAGGTTTATCAGATAAGATCTTGTGGGTAGGTTTGTTTTGGAATGTGGTAAGCGATGGACTGACAAGGCCCTTGGGGTATGATGTAGTGTTTTTCTTATACACTTCGTCATGAGAAGTCAAGAGAAAAGGCTGCAGAAATTTGACGAAATGACCTGTAGAGCAAATGCTTGAATTCACTTCAACGTAGCAGTCAATTGCTTATAATATGGAGAGCTTGGTGTGGGGTACATCTTTTGTTGGGGACGTACTGTCGTGACAATATTGCAGTGTGTTATGACGGGTCGAGGCGAGCGAGATCTCGTGACTTTGAACCTGTGTAGAAAGTGGAAACCATGGTGAGCTGAGGGCAGCGAAAACAATCATGGTGCGGGAGAAGGGCAAAGAATATGCAATCTATCATGCTTTGAATGAAAGAGGGGAGAAAGGGTACGTGGAAAAATGTACGAGCTGTGATGCGAGGAGGAGAATAATCATGGACCAGGTTGGGATCTGACATTTAGCGAATGTGTGGAGTTGGGAAAGCAGGGGTAGCTCGAGGCCTGATTTCATGGGAAACGCGTGTTTTCATTCGTGAAATGCCATCGGCCTGAAGCTTTTCAGGGTCTATCTCCGACTCGTGGAGTGTAGCCAATCGGAGATCTCGCTATATGGGGAACCACTAGGAATCCACCCTGTGTCAGGAAGAGAGCCCCAACCATGGAGACGATCTGCCTTAAAGACCTCAAAATGTGCTCCGCTCTGCTGCGGCAAGAAAGTAGAGAAAGGAGGGGTTCATGGATAAGGATCTCGGGCTTTATCTCAGTGGGATGAGTAACGAAGTCGCATTCCCAGGATTGAGGTCTTCACTTTGGTCCTATGAATAGAGGTAAAAATGACAGAGCGGTAGCATTGCATAATGTGATGTGCGTAATTCCAACTAACGAAATAACACCTCAGATGAGAATGGTGTTTGAAGGAAAGAAAGAGGTGAGAAGATGGACTGTAGATTGACGCTCTAGCAGATGTGATTGAGGCTGTGTTAAAATGTGATTGTTTCCAATACATGCATACTCCGGGAAGATTGACGAAGCAGGCTATCCGTGCATTGCTCAGCGCTGGATAGCATGGTAGTCGACTTTAAATCGTTCCCAATCTCATTATCGTGAAGTTTTACTTCTCAAGCTTGATCAGTTAAACGAGGGCTAAACGGGTCGGTCGGTGCCGCAGGGATAAATCTTTCGATGGAATATTGAGAAGTACGAGAACACTTTCGGAAGGTTGCGACGGAATTTCAGAATCGGTAAAACACAACTCGCTGTACCCCCAAGATGCCATGCCGTCATATCTTAAAAAAAACCACCCCAATCGCCCAACACTTCCAGCGCTTCCATTCATTCTTTTTGAAGGTTCCAGAAAAGCATGGGGGTTTGTGAAGATGTTGTGTTAAGCTTGTGCCCCCCTTTCAGCCTCGGGATTGCGTGCTTTCGGAAGGCTGTTAAGTCATGGCGATAAGATATGCAGGTCCCTCCACTCGTTGATTGATAGGATAGCTATTGCAACCCTCCATATCGTCTTTGGACATAGTACCGATATCCGATGTCATTTCAAGTGTGGAATCAATTTTGGCATGGAGGTCGGACTTGACTAGAATACAAAAGGGATAGGGAAACCAAAGTAATTGCTTCTCCCTTAATGATGATCGTAATGGGCTATCTGCATTGTGGATATCCTACGCGTTCTGCATGCGACAACGGGGCATATCTGAGACTGATATGCCGCGATTGACGATAAGGATAAAGAAATTGATGGTTGAGAAGCGTAGCTAGAGAGATTGGAGTTGGCCTATTTTGGAATTGTTCTGGAACCTGCTGCACAACACTATATTCGTCTCCGTCCTTGCATATACCGCAGGGGTACGAGGGTACACGATCAAGTCCCGACGACCAATAGACGAAGTCCTCGTGTTCTGGATATTTGATTCCATAAGCAAATCGAAGATCTGATTTCTGTGCAAGTTCTGGGCCCTTCATTCCACTGAATGATGTGAAATCGACTTGGCTTCACAAAGCGTCGCTATCAGTTCATGGCATCTCCCAATCGATCTTTGGACTCAACATCTGATTATTGGAAGGATTGTGATTCGGTGGGCTTAACGCCCAATCGTTGTCGACCATCGTGGGATCCAAAGAGCCCAAGTCCATGAACTGATTGACGTCAAAGCTTTGCCAATCAAAGTCGAAGTTGGGCAGAGGCTGCATAGTTGCCAGCTCATCGAGACCCATACTCCTCAGGCTCTCCATTTGATCTGGTGCTAACACATGTGCTTCGGAGTCAGCGGTAGCATCTGTTATTCCCAATGTTTCTGCATGGGTTTGATTTCTTTTGGTGGTCGGAGGTGGGGGAAGATAACAGTCTTCGACAAGCTTTGAAAGATTTGTTGGTGGTTTGAATTGGGTGTCATATTGTTGGCTTTTGTACCATATCCGAAGTCTCATGAGAAGGCCAAGGAAAGTAAACGGTGCTCTACATTCCATTGGACCAACGGCCGCTCCCAATTTCTCGATAAGCGCTTGGAGATAGAATCCCAATCTGATAGTCTGGTCATCTAGTGCAGACCCAATCAGGCTTGTCGATGTTTTGGACGAGATGAGAAGTTTAGTTAAAACAAGTGCGGCATATGCAAGCGGTACAAAATTGTAGATTGGAAATGAGCGGAGCACCTCCACGTTGGTCTCGAGAAAGAGATCTAAAGTTGCATGGGCGGAGGATATAATAATCGTTACTTCCTTAATATATGCCATGCCGACTTCGCATGAATGTTTTGTGAAATGGTCAAAATTTCATCTAATTTGTAGGGGGGCATGAATCCAGATGGATTGTGGTCGTCGTGTAAGGCTATTTCGTGAATGAACATTTCAATGTGATGGTAAACTAGTACCAACGCGACTACAAAAGCATTAGATCTAGGTTTTCGAAGATAGAAAGCGACATACTATTCATACTGCCAACTGCCTCGCATCTGCCTCTCTAAGCAAGCAGCCGCTGCTGGAATCCATTCAACATTATTTGCACCCTGGGCTCCGCGACTGAAAGAGCTCGAGTCAGAACGCTCAGAGGAATAATAAGATGAAAGAGAGGTCACTCACGATCTGCGATGTTACCAAGATCATCAAAGGAAAAAGCCACAACGATATCCTCACAAACTTGAAATAGCTTTGCCCATGCTACAAGAATGTGGTCTAGTGCAGAGGTACTCCCGTGAATACCCAGAAATTCGATACAGTCATTGATCCAGTGATTTGACCTGTAGCTATTTGGTCGTCTTAAACTCATAGAAGCTCTGTTTTCTGTAAGCCAGCGCCAAGTTTAGTAGAGGCACTTGTCATCTTACGCAGTGCTAACCAAGTAGCAAGTCAAGATTGTTCGTCTTCGTTCCAAATCTTCATCAACTTGCATGGGTTCTCCTTCAATGGAATCGGAATTTCATCCCCAGCGTCTCTTTGAAACATTTGGATTCGTTCCTAATCCAATAGAAAGAGCCATTGTAGTAGCCATATTAATATACTCGTAGAACTTGAGAGCCACCCAGTTCCCCGGGGGATAGTACCAAATACAAGTTACAATCTCTGCCTGAGCCAGCTCCACTACAACAGATTAGCATCCGGCTTTCATGATGAATTCCAAAGGCGAGAGCTGAAAAAAATGACGAATCATTCCTTCGTTTCTTGACAATTGAGGCTGGAAAAGAAGAATAAGGAGTGGCATGGCATATATGACTTTTCACAATCAATAATGGTTCTTTGCACATAAGAAGCCACAACTTCGCTATTAAGTGTGCTATATAGATGGGGCTCGGTTTTCCCAGAAGCGGCAGCTATAACAGCGAAGAAGAGCGTTGGCTTCGTGCGTCGAATGTTTTCTGCCGAAGTGCCAGGAGGGAAATAAACGCAAGGGTAGTGTTGATACAGATCGGTGTTGAAAATATGAAAGAGTTTTTCGGCTGATTCCCAAGTCAATATTCCTCTATCTATGACGTCTAGCTGCGAAGATACGGTAGAGATATTTCCTGGCGTTGGGGAGGTTCTTTCGCCAGACGGTGAAGTGGGGAGGAAATGTGATGTTTGAATTGTCTGTAGCGACGATAATTGGTACTAAGATCTCTCTTTCCTGGCCGCAATTGAAACGCCTAGATTCCTCGCTTCGGCTGCCAATTTCTCATCCGCAGTAAGGGGTTTGGCAGCAGTCTTTCGCTTGTCAAAATGGTTCTTCATCGCCTCAACCTCCCTCTCCAACTCGGCGACTCGAGTGTCTGTACGTTTTCGCTGCCGTCTTTTTACAGGAGCAGTGAAAACGCAATTGCGATCTGTTTTCAGACATCTTTCACAAGCTTTGGAGTTAGGAAAGGTTGTCGTTGAAGTGTTCGGAAGACATCGAACCTTGTGCAATCGACAGGCATCACAGGCTCGATTGAGATGAGGATCAGAGGTGTTCTTTGGTGGCCGGTTCTCCATAAATAATGATGCGAGTGGAAACATTACACATGAGTTCGACCGCAAACATGTTGATGGGAGTGTGTTGTTACTGTTGATGAAGCCGTGCTAGCCTAGATATTTCCAAGTTTTCGCTCTCATTTGTCTGAACTTGTCTAATAGATTGGCGGATATTAGCCACGTGAGAGCTTACTTTTCAGTCAATCAGGACGTATTCAAATTTACGGAATCATATGAAGGTTATCTGTGTCATGTGATGGGGATCATATGTCTTTCCAGCTGCTGATATAATAACAAAAACTAAAATGAGCAACCCTCCTTCCTCTAATTTTTTTTAGACTGGTAGTATAGATACTTGGAACTCAGCAGGTCGCATTTGACAAACTAAACCTCGTATATTAATTGGAATTGTGTTAGAAGGTCTAGAGTACTCTAGCTTCACGCTTTCTAACGCTTAAAGGCGAGATGCGAGCTATGCAAATTCCCAGCTATCACCCATATTGCACGGAACACAGAAGGCCTCGTTTTCGCTCGTGTAGCTTCAATACTGTTGTTAATTCGGGAGCTGTCTTTATGAATTTCGTTGGAATAATATCTCGCTTGCGAACTTGTAATCTGTACGATATATAAAATTCAGCCCATCCTCCACAGCGTAAATCAAAGCAGCTAGTAAGTCCCACGAAGCCCAAAATAGATGCATTGCTATAAGCAAGTGAATATAGGCTCAGTTGTTTCAATTCTTTGAAACATCGTTGATTTGTTATTTGCTTTTGCACGTGTGTGTTTTTTCCCGAAGGCGGCTTTTTTCCACCTCGCTTCCTAGTGCATTTGTATATTTACTGCATCTTCCCGCAAGGCTGAAAGAATTCCCCAATAACATCTCAAGAAAGCGATGCCGCTAAAAAATCTTAGCCGGTATCGTGTGATCTAATTTACCTCGTTTTGCATAAAGTCGTAAGATCTTACTGCAGTAGTACAAGCAGCCTAGCCAAGAACCACGACAACCTCTTTATTCCGGACCCCTTTTCTTAGCTTTCTCCTGAAATATCACTGAGTTCTTCTATAATCACAGTTTCCCAGTTGCTCGTCATTTGAGGGCAGATCGCTTCCCTAAATTCCAAAAATGATTTTGCCGATCAATTTCATCTTAGCCGTAGTGGCCATTCTTCCTTGTGCAACATCATCTCCGTTGCTCCCCAAAGAAAACAGTGTCATCAGACCAGTCCATGCAATCGAACAACGGGCAACACATATAATAGCGACGCCATCAGTCACATCATCTCCAACATCAACAACCAAGAAGCACGCTACTAAAACCACGACGACACCAATCGTTACCAAAACCGGCGTAGCAGATTGCAACGTTCAAGGGACTGCAAACGAAGTCATGACATCAAAAATATTCGGAAGCGCCAGAGCATCAGATATCCTCAATTGCCAAGTGCAATGTCGAACTATTACTGCTTGTATATCTTATTCGTACCAGCCTCCGGCTAGCACCAAGGATGACAACTGCGTGTTCTATAACATGTTTCTCGATAAAGGGGTTAAGCCAAGTAAGAGGAGTGGCATCTTTTTCTCAGACAAGTATCCGGATGATGGAAGTGATTATTGTTATTCAAGTGGTTAGTTTTAAGGGGTTGTTTGAATGGTCATGGGGGGTTTGGGGGGAGTGGAGCATGAGTGGCGACCACGGACTTCTATCAAATGGATTGGTAGCATTTCGCACATTTAGAATGCGGATAGTGTAGGCAGTCTGGGTGAACCGACTGGAAAGACCTGTGATTGTGAAGTTTGATCAGAGTTTATAGATAATGATTAGCCTCTTTCCTCATCGTGCCAATAAGAAAAGTTAAGCAACGTTGTATTTTATTTTTTGTCTTTTTGTCTGTCTGTCTGTCTGTCTGTCTATGTATCTTCTGTGAAAGTATTGAATTTCCAATACAAGAAGGTGCATACAATTGACACCACCCAACCTCAGGCAACTTCGCCTTCATCTGTATTGGTATTAAATAAAACACCAGCAGCCTCTTTCATAACATCTAACGTGCTGTAAACTTCGTCTTGCTGCATTCTACCCCAACCACACTCAGTAGCAACTCCGTAACATCTACCACCTAGAACACGATCTGCAACGGCCATTCGTTGTAATGTGCCTCCAATATCGTAAGCATGTACAAGACCTAAATATAACTCAGTTTGTCCATACTTTCGTGGAGTGAGGGCATTTAATGGCTCATAGTACGCCTCGTCCTTTCTATCGATCGGAACTGGGATGTGCATCCAGTCAATTCGACGATAAACAGAGTCGTGTATGAGGTTGGCGAGTTTGACGCTGATGGTTGTGTTTCTGGGTTCGATGAAATGCTTGTGTCCATAATCTCCATAGCAAATATGGTATCCGAGGTCAACATCTTCATGGACGTATGAAGCCATTGTATGGAACCTTTCTTCAAAACCTGCTAGCAATACCTCTGTCTTGTTGTCATCTGAGATAGAGCCGTCATTTGGAACCCACCAAGCAGGAAAAACCTCTTCAAGCATTGCGACCGCAAATGGACAGTCGAATTGAATGGCCAAATCGTATGCAGGGATATATTTTTGGATACGTTTCAAAACGGCACTATCAATCCGCTGAAGTCAGTTTCAATCTTTCTATCTACATGAATGGCTGCACACTTCAAAAGAAAAAGTCAGTAGGAGAAAGGTAATTACTTACATCATCTCCTTTTCATACGCCTTCTCAACAGTAGCTTGATGTTCCGGGCGGATGCAAAAAGCTACAACATCATGTGGATTCGGCAAGCTGACCTGAAACTTAACACCTGCTCCAATGACACCTTGTCCCCGAGCACGGCAAAATTCAGCATAAGAAGCAATGGCAGCGATATCATAACCAGAGCCGTTCAATCGAATTTCCTTCTCTCCATGTTCAGCGCGCAGAGCCTGGACCTCTTCCTCAAAACCATTCTTTTCATGGACGCCAGTCTCTTTGTAGAGTGCAAATGGCTGCAGAACCCAGGGACACCGGCTGAAGGTCGCAATTTGAAAAGCGATGAAGCAGTCTCGAGGTCTAGGCTCACCGTCAGGGATACGTTTGAGCGCGCCGGGGAAGGCGGATGATGCTTGGTGGAAGGTCGCAGCTGCCGTGAGAAGTGATGATGAGCCGATTAAGTGAATTGGAGCTGGGATAGCAAACTTATGTGGCAAGGGGTGTACTGGGATAAGTCAATCTCTCGTTCTCAAACGCGAGGAAATGGTATGTTGTGAGAGAGGGGAATGGAGATGATAGCGGTCTTACACTCAATTTCATTGGGAGGCTCTTCACCCGCGCCATGCGGTTGCTCGACAACGGGCCTCTCATTAAGGACCCTATCGGATTGATATCGCATATAAGGCTGGTCTCGAACAATGTACTCTGGCGGAAGAGGAAAATCTTTGACCAAGTCTTTCTCGGCCCTAGTAAGGCAGTTGTCGTCGAAGATCATCTTGAAAACCGTCAGAGTGATTTGATCTGGATGGAGTCGATTGACACCCTGCGCGTTTCTTGGAGAGGAAGGAAAGCAACCCATGTCGAAGAATAGGTCGAGGCTTTTATATTCAATTCGTTGTGTAACCGTGACTAAGTCAAGTTATGAGTCTGCTAGTGTGTTTCAGAAGGGGTTATTCAAACGACATGGTGTGACCATTGCTGGTGTTGGCATATTTACATCAGAGTGCCTGGTGGGGCTCTAGATATTTTGTGTTGTGATTCTTATCGCATACCCCACCCACTCTGCTCCACTTACGTCCATGTCAACACTGCCAGAATCTCGCTTAGACAAAACAACCAATCAATCCAGGGCGAAAGACATATAGAAAGCTCTGCGATACTTTTCGTTTGGTTGGTGCCTTTTATGTGGATATTTTGCGTTTTGCTTTTGCACTTATATGAGAAATTTGGTTGTTAACGACAATCAAAAAATCCCTGTCCTTACACAGACTTGAGCGAACTTGATTGGGCGAAGATATTCACTTTAACATGAATAGACAGCAAGTGAAGCCCGCCCATTAAAAAGAAAAGGATTTTTTCCCCACTTATAGTCTGTCTATAAGAAACCTGACTGGTATAAACTTTGATCGTGTCAAAACTGCACAGGAAATTTGCGGGGGCAAAATGGAAGAAAGAAGCCCATTTCACCCCAATCTTTTAATCAACGCCAGCAATTGATATTTGCTGGATTACCTAAATACCTGAATTCCGGTCGAGTACGTCCATGATCCAGCAAACTGGTAGATACCATTATTCAGTTACCAATCATCGGATTACATTCAAGCCACTCAGCCCTGCAATCGGATCATGAAGTTTCAGAACATCACACAATGTGAGTCCATGGAAGTGATTCCCAACGAACAGCAATGAAACATCAGCTATTTACACAAATGATGGGTCTGCCCTAATATCTCCGTGTTGGGTAGAACTAAATAGGGAAGGTGGTTAGCAAGCCCTAAAATGAGTGCAATTGGACCCTCCAAGTGAGCGGTGACGACCACTACCAATGATCGTATCGTCATAGCATAGAATTCACTGTCTTTGTAACGTCACTCGACCAGTTACTAAACACAGGAAGTCTTTTGCCAACTATGCCCTACTGCCCAGGACGCATGTCACAAGGGCAGAAACCGCCGAGAAATCACTTCGCTGTACTCAAGGTATCTAGAATGATTTCTGATCAATATCCATATCTCTCACCCACTGCATTCCGTCAATTGGATATAGATCAGTATGTGCAACAAGCCCAAAAATAGCACCTGCATTGTTTGATTATGACCACATGTCGAAACCAGCCCTCTGGTGCCCCTAAGCTGAACGTAAGAGCAAAGTTTAGTATTGAATCGTTGTTCTCTCGAAAATCCTTGAAGTGTGTTGATCTCGAATTAATGAACAAGTACTGGAAACTTTGATGGACATGGTGTGGTAGTACGTTTTTTGGAGTACTTCTAACGTGATAAGAAAAGATTCCGACTGAATCAAAACTAGAAAACCAATCTTTACTGGCTGGCTAGCCCAAAAGAAAGTGGCTCTCTAATTCTAACCCGTGATATTTTTGCTAAGTCTCCAAAAGTAGAATCATTGATCGGCCGTTCGATTAAGAATGGTATTTGCTAGGATGTCCGCATCGAGCAATGACCCCCCTTCAGTTTTGACAGTCATCAAATTTTGTACGTCGCAAAGTAAGCCGCTTTGATACGCCACCACCACATGAGGGGAACTGCATCTGCGTGATGTCCGAAATGTGCACGAAGTACCTCAAGTCAGAATACAAGAAACATGCCAGAAAAACCCAGTGTCTTCTTACTCATCTTATGGCATTTTGAGAAAGCTACCATCACGTAATGTACTGTATGTAGAGAGCTTGGTAGTATCCCGTGCATAGACAGATTGAAACTTTAGGTTTCACGAAGACATTGACCCAAACAACGAGTAATACGACTGGTAGGAATATTTGTATTGGACCTTCAGCCGTAATATATCCCACTTGTTGCGGAAGAATGAATCCGGGGCATTTTCCCAGGCGAGCAAGGGTGTTTCATGGAAGGTGGTAACACAGTCAGACCCGTGGCGCTTGGGAAACAGGGCCGGTATTTGCAGTTTTTCGATGTAGTTATTTTGCGAGGCTTTGATTCAATTTGAGGTACTTGGGCGTACTTTAGAATTAGCTCGTATTTTTGGGTCGTGGAACAATACTTTAATGTATTGGGTGGCATTCGGTTTGATGGAAGCAATGGTGAGCTGCCATTTTTACAGTTTCTGATATACTAAAGCTTTCATAAATTCACATATTCATGATTAATTCCTACAGATTGCTTATTGGCTTTCTAGTTTCACTGAAGTATATAGAGTTGACATACTTACGTAGATTTTCATAGCGTGAGAGACCTCCGTTCCAAGAGCTTACCTAAACAGGAAGATTGATAGACGGACTAACTTCCCAAGCTGGTGTGACATCCAGACATGCATTTTGACTCCCGCTACTGTGTCTTTGAAGCCACTCATTCTTATTGGGCAATACTCACGGACCAACCTACCGTTGGCAGACCAGAAGCTTCTATCACCAGTCCTGTTTGCACTAGAACCGTAGAATGGATGAAGAATGAAAGAGTTCTCTGTGGTTTCTTGAGACCCAACGTACAGTACTCCAAGGCAACTTGGATATTGGCGAGGAATAGCTCTCCAACAACTCTTCGGGGAGCAAGACGACGATGGCGGTCGGGTACATAAATCTGAAAAACAGAGATTCGGCCTACTTAAACTAACGTTAAGTATGTAGGCTAGACGTTCGATAGTAGTACTACCAGTAGCTTCTATAGGACCGTAAAAATTGTGAATTATCTTTTCGAAACGCTAAGCTGAGCCCGTATATCATTAAAGATTGTAGAATAGCTTCGCTTACCATATTTAGCTAAAGTATCCACTTAGTATGGAGTTTACAAAATAGGAAGCAACTTACGTTTTTCGAGCGAAAGAATTCGATTAAGTTTAGTATCTAGGCTAAAGAGGACGTAATAATTATAGAATTAAGATTCTTCACATACTTAATAAGCATCTCTATTAGAAGTCGTAAAACAAGTGTTGTACTAGAAGTTAAATCTAAAAATATACCGTATATACTACCATCGAATACACGCGGATATAATTTAGGTAATGTTGTTTTCTAGGTTTGTAAATAAGCGTACTTCTTTTCCTATTTAAAAAGCGGCAACACTTTTATATCGAAAGATTATAGGCTTACATATTACCTTAGACATGAAACTGTTGTAGATGTAGGCGGTATATTTAGGCTAAGATTTCTCTCGACGTAAATAAGGTATCTTTTCGCCCAGACCTGGGCACGATGACGATATGTATCGGATTATCGCGATGAATTATTCCACGATTCCGATATCGATCGTCCGAAAAGTGACGATATCGATATTTTTTACCTGATTTTAGTACGTTTTCGGAGCCTTTATAGGGGCCTTTGTAGGGAGTTTTTAGGAAAAATCTCTAATATAAATAAGGAGGTCGGTCACATGACTAAAACGTGACCTGATTCTATTATAAGTTTTTAGAATAATAATCTAGAACGCTTTAATAAAAAATAGTTATAAACAAAATGAAGTCTAAGACTAAATAGTAGGTTACTCTTAGGGCGTTTAGTAGTAATATTATTAGTAGGTCTTAGATTTATATACTCTAATTAGCTCGGGTCCGGGTTTTAGTTTTTCTGCACTATATATATAATAATCGATATTACATCGGATATTATTAAAAAACCGATATCGTATTATTAATATATTTATAATACGATATCGATCGTAGGACCTCCGATATAAAAACGTTTCTATTATACCTAGGTCTATTTTCGCTACAGGAATAGCTATTAAGTCTCGTTACTATATATTCCGTGGCTATACTTTCTACCTATACTTTTAACGAAGTATTAGTAGGGACGAGGAGTAAATTATCCTTAACGGAGGAGATATAGCGCTTCTATAAAGATAAACGTAGTACGAGATCTAATAGTATATAGACTACTTCGGCCTTTAGTATAGTAAAGATAATAACTATCTAGTTTATACTTCTATCTATATATCTCTAGCGTACCCCTACCTTTCTATACCCCGTTATTAAAAATAGTCTATAATAGTATAACTTATATCTAATAAAATAATTCTTAATATATAAGATAATAAGTAGAATAGGGAGAATAATAAACCGTAAATTTAAGTAGTAATACAAGGTTATCCTAAGCTAAAGAATATATAGTCGACGCTAGACTAATATAACCCCGTTTATAAATAATACTTGTATCTACTATATAGATAAGTTAGGAAATGAGATTATCTAAAATATTAGTAGTATAGAGAATCTTTTCGATGATTTAGTAAATTAGTAGAGTTAGGCGGCTGATCTAGGGGCGTTAATCGACATCAGGATCGTACTATAGTGAAATTTGCCCCCGAGAATAATCAAAGGCGAGATTGGTAGGATGGGTACTCTTAATAGTGTAAGAGCTTGAGTTTGGCCTGTCCTCAACTCTTCTAAATATACCATGATCTTTAGTCCCTTCGGAGGTGATATCCATCTTCGCTGTCACAAGGGAAGCGAAGGTGCGTAATACAAGGTCGTTAAGTCTACAATAAGCAGCAAGTAACTTCTCACAAATTTAGTGAAGACAAGAATCGATGCCAGACTGAGACGCAAAGTCGTCGTGTTTATCAGAGGGCCGATTGTGTTATAAGCTCCTGCAATAGGCGTTAATCGACCTGTTTTAACAATATCCAGAAAAACGTTGTCCACATCAGAATACGGCGAGATAAATATTGCTTAAGCGCTGGAATAGAAAGCCTGGAGAATGAGGGAAAGATGCTCTAGATAGCTACGTCTTCGTTCTACATCAAGTTAGATATCGCAGTGATTTTGACCAGGTTCCTGGCTGTTGCAGCAATTCACGCGTTGCTGTCACTGGTAACGAATGCGGGAAAGGCCAAATGAGTATTTGAAGCTAGTGAAGAGGGTGGGCAGCTTGAAATAGCACGCTAAATATTG